GAGACAAAGAGACAAAGAGAGAGACACAGAGACAAGACAGAGAGACAAAGAGACAGAGACAAGACAGACAGAAACAAGACAGAGACAGAGAGACACAGATAAGACAGAGAGAGACAGAGAGAGAGACAGAGACAGAGACAAAGAGACAAAGACAGAGACACAGAGACAAGTCAGAGAGACAGAGACACAGAGAGACAGAGACAAGACAGAGAGACAGAGATAGACACAGAGACAGAGAAAGAGACAGAGACAACACAGAGAGACAGAGACACAGAGACAAGACAGAGACAAGACAGAGACAGAGACAAGACAGAGACAAGACAGAGACAGAGACAAGACAGTCAGAGAGAGACAGAGACAAGACAGACAGAAACAAGACAGAGACAGAGACAGAGACAAAGAGACAAAGATAGAGAGAGACACAGAGAGACAAGACAGAGATACAAAGAGACAGAGACAGAGAAAAGACAGAGGGACAGAGACAAGACAGAGAGAGAATCAGAGAGAGACATAAACAAAGACAAGACAGAGACAGAGAAAAGACACAGAGACAGAGACAGAGAGAGACACACAAACAGAGAGACAGAGAGGGACAGAGAGAGAGAGAGAGGCAGACACAAGACAGAAAGAGAGACAGAGGCGATGTAGTAAACAAGGAGCACAGGTGAGCCTGTGAGATCTCAGGACCAGCCCCGCCCCCAGGTACAACAATTAAAAAAAGCCTAGTATTCGGGCATTTGGAATTTGACCATAATTCTTGATAATTTAATGCTGCAGAACTAACAATGGAGCCATTCTTTGTCAGAAATAAGAGAACACACACTTCACGCACGTGTCTCCCCCTTCCCATTTTTAACAGCAATTATGTTCCAAGGAGACAGTGCATTTACCAGGGCTGTGTTCTTCAACAAGGCCACGTAAGGGGAAATAGAACAGTCCTAGTTTAAAGAATTCACTGTTCACTTTTTTAAGTTCATCTATTTATTTAGAGAAAGAGAGAGAGAGCGGGGCGGAGCAGGGAGAGAGGGAGAGAGAATGCCGACCAAGCAGGCTCCGCGATGTCAGTGCAGAGCCCAACAGGAGGCTAGGTCTCAGGACCAGGAACCACGAGATCACGCCCTGAGCCAACATCGAGAGTCGGGTGCTCAACCCACTGAGCCACCCAGGCACCCCAAGAACTCACTCTACTAAAAGAACTTGGTTGAGGGTCTTCAAACTAGTTCAGATAAAAGGTAATTTGCCAAGTTTAGAAAGGAATCAATAGGACCTTGAGCGACACTATTTTAAGGAAAACCTCAGAGTTGCAGGGGTCCCCATGTCATTTATCTTTACAAAGCAGTGCTGTGTGCCCGACGGCAAGGACAGCGGCAGGGGTGCCCACGCCGTGTCTGTCCAGACACCGAGGGAGAGATCTTGCAAGGACGCCAGACAGGTCAGATGCAAATGGGTCAAAAACGCGGTCTATATTTTGATTAAAGCAAGGGTGTAAGCCGGAGGGGAAGTTAGAACAAGATCCAACCACTAAAGGAACGGGTTAAAGCATCCCTTAAGTCTGCATACGGATGGATCCTCCCACAGTGAGATTGATTCAAGACTTCTTTCTACTGTTTACGCTATGGCATAACATCAAGAAATACGTAGGTCTCCAGCTGTAAGATTCGCAAAAGCATCAACTTTCTAACCCGGAGGCCGCTAGGCAGTGAGTTTAGCTCCTAAGTGTGTTTGCTTCCTCTGCAGACGAGGTTGACCCTAGGGATCCGGCGGGAAAGAAGCACGGTCAGGGGGTGGGGATGCCTGCACACCGCTGGCTGGCGCATCAGAGGAAGTAATTCTGAGAGCAACTGAAGGACAGGTGTGAGAGGTCACAAACGCAAGTCCGTTCTAAGGAACAACGTCTCCGTTTTCAGCCCTGAGCCTTCCCTGCCGTTAGCAAATGAGAGAATGGAAACCCACGATGCCGACGTGGAGATCTCGTAAAGTCTACGACTTGCGCTCAAGGGGGAAGGGAAGCACAGCCCACTGTAGGTGTTTCTCCCGGAGACACTGCGGTTGCGTTCACTCACCCATTCATTCATTCATTCATTCGTTCCCTCGAAGTAATATAAGCCAATTCAGATGCAGCTTTAATTGAACTTACCTAATAATTATTCAGTCACTGCTGACTATCTCCTCTCATCTCCAGGAAGGTGGGGCTCAATGGAGGGCCTGCCCCTGTAGAATTTACAATTTAGAGGGCAGCAAACCTGGGACCACAGACAGTCATCGTGTCATCTGGGACACACATGATCACTAGGTCCTCTGGGACCACCCGTAATCACCACACCATCCAGGGCCACCCGTGATCACCAGGTCAAGAGAAAGTATCAGGTTTCTGAAGGAAGAGTCAGGAAGAAAATGAAGGGTCAGTCCTTCTCTCAGGGTCAATGCAGAGGGGTGCTATGACAGGAGGACCCAAGATGGGGTGACAGATGTGGGATGGGGTGATACAGAGGCTGAGGCCACGTGTGTGAGCAGCAAACCCCAGGAAAACTCTCCACCCTGTGTGGGACCACCACAGACCTCTCAGGACTTGAAAGCAGCCAGGGGAAACGCAGTCCCCACAGCCTCGCTGAGACGCTGGGGCACGCAGGTTCTAGATGCTTCTTATGGTTGGGAGTGATGTGGAAACACACTGTGATGGAATCAGGAGGCCTAGAAATCATTATCTTTCTTGTTTTTTACCACGCTGCCTTCACTGTTTGAGTGAACATAGATTTGGGGGGGGGGGGGAGAGACACAATATGAGAGGGGTAGGGGCAGAGGGGGAGGGGAGGGAGGGAGAGAGAGAGAGAGAGAGAGAGAGAGATCGAGACAGAGAATCCCAAGCAGGCTCCACACTCAGTGAATAACCCAACCCAAGGCTTCATCGCACAACCCTGGGATCATGACCTGAGCCAAAGTCAAGAGTCAGACACTCAACGGACTGAGCTGCCCAGGTGCCCTGACAGAAGACTTTCTCTGTGTTTTTAGAGACTCTGTGCTGGCTTTGGTTCCCCAGACCTGTTGTTTCCCGGAGCTCTTCCAGCCCCTTCATGGACCCCACCTGCCGTACGGTGAGACTTAGGCTCCAGCCCCCGACTCAGGGCGGCCACGTGTTGTGCTGAACTGTCTGCTCTGCAAATCTCTTCCCTTTCCCCAAACACCTCCGTTTTCTTTGTTTTCCTCGCCTGCTTCCACATCAAAAGCAATTGCAATATTCATGTATTTTTGCTTCTTTTTAGCACTTCTCGGAGGTAAGTCAAGAAGTCTCTTGGGTTATTCGTTGTTCCAGATTTATGTTTGTGTGAGATTCCATGAGAACATGGTTATTATAAAATTCTTCTTAAAAAAATATCGTGCAGATGGTGTAACCTTAATGCGAGACTTTGGGAACAACAAAAAAATCACCTTAGTCAACATCTGTCATTATTTCCAAGTACCGGATTTGACTTGTCTGCCCACAGCAGATTTGGATTCTACAAATACCCCATAAAGATTCCATGCAGCCGAACTCCCAGTCTTAGACATCACACCCTCTCACCAAACGGTCTCACCATCTCTGGATCACTTCAAAGCGTTTACAGAAGGTCCACTGGACCTTGGGCTCAATCTTCATTAGTTTAAGCTACAACCAAGTCCCAGTTCTTTATCCAGAATCCCAGGAAGCATCGAGGACCGTGCCAAATGAATACGCAACGATTTACGTGTTTTTCTTGGGCTCCCGCCTTGAGAAACAGGCCAAGGCTGGGACATAGGAAACCCTGACAGTGGACATCCGATCAAAGGCTCAGAGCCCCTGGCACAGGGTAAAGACGATGTATGTTCGTCTGTGCGGCCTTGGCAACCCAGCCACACAGTTGGTCTACAGTTGGTGCTCAATAAATGCTTGTATTGATATACCTCTGGGAAACCCATTACGGAATTACTAGGACACACTGCAGAGGAAGGAGAAGGTATTCGAGCAAACTGACGTAAGGGCGCAGGGATGATGGAGAGCCAAGGCCACAGATAGACACTCGAACTTCAGGAGGGGAGACTCACACTGGGCACTTTCTGCTGTGACTGCATCAGAGCGAGCAAGCCTGGGTTGTACCCTGACACCTTCACGGTCTCTCCGCCACCCTCTGAGGCACACTCCTTATCTCGTGGGCACTTCCTACATCTCCGGACTGAGGCACAGAGAAGCCCAGACATCAGATCTGCCCTGTAGTGGCACCAAAACAAGTATTCTACCTGGAGAGCAATTTCCAGTGAGAGGTTAAAAGAGTTTAAGTGAGAAGTGTGTAAACATAAAAGGGCAGCACTATCAACAACAGTCAAACTACAGAAAGAGCCCAAGTGTCCATCGATGGATGAACGGATAAAGAAGATGTGGTGTGTGTGTGTGTGTGTGTGTGTGTGTGTATATACACTTGAGCGCAAGTTGTGTATATATATACACACACACACACACACACACACACACACACACGATGGAATACTACTCAGCGATGAAAAAAAATGAAGTCTAGCCATTTGCAACTACGTGGATGGAACTAGAGGGTATTGTGCTAAGTGAAATAAGCCAGCCGGAGAAAGACAAGTATCCTACGATTCCACTCCTAGGTGGAATTCAGAAAACACAACAGATGAACATAGGGGGAGGGAAGGAAAAATAAACTAAGATAAAAACGGAGAGGGAAGTAAACCACAAGAGACTCTTAACTATGGAGAACAAACTGAGGGTTGATGGAGGGGAGGTGGGTGAGGGGCAGGGGAAAGTGGGTGGTGGGAGGGGGGCGCTTGTTGGGATGAGCACTGGGTGTTGTATGTGAGTGATGAATCACTGAATTTCACCCCTGAAGCCAACACCCCAGTACATGTTAACTAACATGAAATAAGTAAAAAATAAAATACAATAAAATAAAAACAAATACATACATACATACATAAAATATGTGTTCCTGGAGCTCAAAAAAAGAAAAAAAAAATCAACCTGGGAATCGGACAGGGCCCATGTCAGAGCCGGTGTCCTGACCTTGGCCGTCTGCACGCCGGGGTCCCCGCAGTTCGGCAGCACCGCGGTCAGCTGGGCAGCTGGCCGACCGAGCGGATGCCTGGCCTCCGCCTCAGTAGCGAGACCCTGCTTTGCAGGCCCGGGGTGGCGCCGGGAATCGCCCGTGTGCGGGACCCCGACCCTGCTTCTCGGCGGTGCTCCCCGGCCAGGCGGCGGGAAGCCGGCGGGCGGGTGTCCACGGTGCTGCCGTGCAACCCTGACGGCCAAGCCTCGGTGTTCGGAGACGGGCTCCGGACGATCCGGAGCTCCCAGGAGCCCCGGCGTTTTGGGAGGCAGCTAACCGGGGCCACGGGCCGCGGCTGTGGTGCTCCGGGCCCCCGCATCCCTAGGGCTATCGAATCCACTCCGTTGATAAAATGACATTTTCCGAGGCGTTCGGCCAGTTCCTTTCTCCAGGCTCCTGCTCATTTCAAAGCATTTAGAGCAAATTACACTAAAGTGCATGTTAGAGGACACCAAGTAGCCTGCAAGGCAGGGGGAGCCCATCCCAAAGCTGAGACACCAGATCACTCATTCCCCAGCCAGACCTCCGCGGGGACCACGCGCTCCGCAGCGAACCCGCTCCCGCTGCAGACGCGGCCAGAGGGGGACGGGGGACAGGAAGAGCGGGCCCGCGGGACACAACCTGCCCACGCGGCCCCAGGAAGCCCGCCCGGGCAGGAGTGCGGGACGGGACGAGCCAGGAAGCCTCGCACACGCTTTCCGCGTTTGCGTTCTTCAAGCGCGGAGGGGGAGTACCTCGCCTTAGGGGCAGGGACCCCCGATCTCCGGATGAAGACCGAGCAGGGTCCGGTTCCCGAACTCCAGCGTCTCGAGACCCACGCGGTGTCCGAAATACCACCTACGCTCCCTGCTGCAGCGAGCCCTCCATTTGCCCCGCGCTCGCCATCTCGCCCGTTCTGGGACGAGATGTGCGCCCCACACGGACTTGGCCAGCAGGGACGCTCAGCTGCTAACAAGGTCACGGGCCTGGTTCCCGTGGGGCTCTCCGGACAGCCTGCGCACAAAGCAGGTTCTAACAAGGACGTGCCACATGAGTGAGCCGGGCACCGAGCGCTCCCGTGGCGTCGAGCGCTCCCGTGATGGCCCGCTCGGGTCCCGGGAGGCAAGAATCCTGCTCCACCCGCCACGGAGGCAGGCGTGTGCTCCCGGGGCACAAGCAGGGAGCGCTCCAAGCAGGGAGCGTGTGCTCCCGGGGCACAAGCAGAGAGCGGACAAGGACACCTTCATCTCTCCCGTACTCGTCTCCACCAACACGACTCCCACACCCCCAGGTGAAAGAAACCGGTGCAAAAAAGCCAGAGCCCTTCCCCGTGACACAAAGAGCCAAATGCCCTTTGCTCGCATGCCCAAGGGGCAAGTGCAGAGGCGTCCCCTTCAGAAGGAACACTGCCAGGGCCTGAAGGTCAGGGGGAAAGCCCTCGGGAGCACCGATGAAGAGACCAAGGCTCTCAGAGGACACCACGCTCAGATCTTCATGTGACCGATGAAGAGACAGAGGGTCCCAGAGGAGGTCACACCATGAGCACGCACAGCAGGGTCCTTGACCCGCAGGCTCCGGGGCTGGGTCGTCTCTCTCCAGGCGTTGATCCTGGGGCTACGATATCCACCCCACACACGGACCAGTTTTCTGGAAGAAACCTCAGAAGGCAGCGTGGAGGAGGGGCTGGAGGGTCGGTGACAGAGTGGCCCTTCCGTCCGCCTCCCTCCTGGGTTTTCATCCTCTGGCTTGACAGGCACTGGCTCATGTCGGGCATCATCAGAAGAGGGAGATGGCTTTTCCCCTCTCACCTTGGTTTACACATTAGAGCAGATTCCTCACATTTTTTAACAGTCTTGGTTTATGTTATGAGATAGCCAAGGCATGGGATCCTTCCACGGAAATTCTCTTCGCGGTCGTTTGAAATGCAGCATCTGAAACCTGTAAAGCAGTTACGCCGCCATCGAAAACTATCATCATCGCTGAAATGCACCAGTACAATCTCTGAGATAGGTGGGAACGTTCTGGAAGCCCCACCCTCGCCAGCCGCGGCTGCTTCTGGAGTCCGTCACCCGACACCTCGGCCCGGGGCGTCGGCATCCCGCTCCCCGAAGGGCGAACGCAGGAGAATCGGCTCCCTGTCCTCGTCTGCGGGCTTCCGACATCCCACAGGCAAACCGTGTTTCAGCAGATCTGGAGAGCTGGGAGGCACGAACCTGCAATTCGCCCAGAACCTTTGGATCACGCAGCCCGCAGCCCTCTGGAGCGGCACAGCCCAGTACAGAAACCGTGAGCCACGGGCAGCCATTTATATGGAGGTGAACCAAAATTAGACGGGATTTGAAATCCAGGGGCTCCCTTGCACAGCCGCTTTGAGTCCCCCAGAGCACCTGTGTGTGGAGCTGAAGGCAGGGGACAGAGCGTTTCCATCGCTGAGGACAGCCTCCCCACAGTGCCATCCAGAAGCAAGGGGTAAAGCAGAATTCGTCCCTCCCCTTACTCCCTAAAGCCCAATTTTTAGAACAGTCGCAAAAACACAAATGAAAATCAGTTCGTGGCTCTATTGGTAAGGACGCAAATCCAGAATGCCGAGGAAAGAACCTTCTTTTGGAAAAAATTATGTTGAAATTAACACCTTTAATTACCGAGGGGAGAGAAATGCCTTAATTACAAGGGAAGGGGAAAGGGCAGGGGGAGGGACTGCAGGGGACCACGGTCGTTTCTGCAGGACGCGAGGGCATTTCAGGGCCGAGGCTGGAGCTAAGGAGCAGCGAGCGAGGTGAGGGGCGGCTGGGGGCCTCACGTGGCCTGGGTGGGCGTGGGGACACTCGGGACACACACCCAGAAGTCCCCGTGGTCACTGCCGACCAGTCATCTTCCCCACGAGGCACTCGAAGCAACACGCACATCGTCCACTTTTTACAGAGAAATTAAAGGTCCCGAAGAGACACAAAGAAAACCTCGGGTGTCTCCAAGGAGGAAAATGTCAGAACTCTGGAAGCCAGCCCCACGGTGTTGACTGGGATCAGCCGCCGTGGCCCTGGGTTAACATCAGACGGTGCCAGACAGGCAAGGCCATGAATCAAACCCACCACCGTGGGTCTCCCAGAGCCCACAGCCTCCAGTGGGGGGAGCTCCCGGATGTGGAGTCCCAGGGTGGGGGTCAAGGTGCTCCCCGGACGTGCAGAGTCCTGAGGGTAGGGGAGTGGGAGTGCTCCCTGGAAGTGCAGAGTCCCAAGGGCGGGGGTGGGGGTGCTCCCCGGACATG